GTCGTGGGCGTTCGGGTTCGGCTGTACTAAGCTAGGAAGCTCTTTATCTTCCTACGTTAGTAGTAGGTCCTGGGTCTGAGGTAGACCAGGTAAGTCGTGACACTTACCTGAACACTTTGTGGTTTAGTTGCAATGAAATAAAACCATTCTTTTCTGTAAGTGCATGCCCTGCCTTCGCCTGGTTTTGCAGCCAAGCCCTGGGTTCACTTGGTTCTTGTTTGTGGATCTGCAGGAGTACAGAGTGATGTCCAAAATGAAGCTATAGTTTTAAAGTCTGAGTTTAAGCTGGAAGTAAGAGGCGCATTTTTAAACTTAAATTTCAGAGAGAATTTTAGCAAAGCAGTTACAGTTAGCTGTGTTGAGGTTTGGTGGAAGTGCATTGACTTGACAGAAGGTGCTGCATTAACTCTAATTAATCTGTCTCATAACTGGTCTTGGTTTCACAGTCATTGAAATTAAAATGCCATTCTAACAAGGCAATGGCTTACACTGCTGAGCTGAACCCTTGCTTGGGGCTGGCTGGGGAGTAAGAAGTTCACAGCACTGGAAAATGAAAACCCCTTTCCCAGCAGTCCTTCCGTAGTCTCCCATCCAAACAGCAGCATGGTCTTCTGTCCAGAGCTACATACCAAGGATCTAGGTACTGAGAGAGCATTAAGTGGCCTTGCAGTGTTGTTACTTTGGCTCCTTCCTGGTTTTTATGAAGAGAACCACAAATTGGTTATTTGTTATTTATATGAAAATAAGAGCAGGTTGAGAAGTGACCAAGAACTGCTTGAATTTAGAAACAGTGATCTTGGAGAAAAAAACAAACCACCAAACAAAAAAAACCCAAATTACTGTCTTAGTAAATCCTTAAGAGACATCAAATGGAATGATGAGGTTTTGGGAGAGTGGGGGAAACATGTTTCATATTGGATTGCATGATCCAATGAATATTATTTAATCAGTTCAATTATTTGTTTGTTTTTGCAAAACAAGCTGCCCATGATATTAAGGTAAAGATTCCAATTAAGAGCCATTTATTATTGTTGTTATAATTACTAGAAGTACTGCTATGGATACACAGCAAAACTAGATTATTGTCACAAGACATTGCCAAGAACAATTTCCAGATAAAACACTTAAGCAGGTTGGTTGGAGGTTTTCAGATGTACATTCCCAGTGCAGTTTTAAAGCTAAAAGTACCTGCTTATCTAAAAGTCCTTAAATTGTTGATTACAGCTAACTGTAGATTAAAATAATTTCTTGGTTAATGATTATTTTGGTGCTTCAATATTATCTGGTAACTGAAGGGAAATTCTGTTGTCAGCTTGGGCTAGATTAGAACTTCAGGACTGTCAGCATAAAAAGTCTATTTCTGACTGCCTGCTCTGCTTTTTAAATTCACGCTTCATTTTCATTTGAGATAATATTTAGATATACTTTCACTGAGTGGGATGGAATTTTGCATTTGGAATAGGGAGATGAAATAAAGGATTTGAATGTGAGCATAAAAGGTATATGGCTAAGCTTCTTAATTCTTGGTGTGTATAATTTTACATTCAAAAAAAGAAAAAAGGAACCTTTAGTTTAATCCATATGGTCTGCCACAGGACTGTGGTGCGGAAAGGATTTCAAGGGAAAGAAGGTTTATTCTTGTCATGTTAAACTGAGTAGTAGATCAGAACCTCAAGGTTTTGATAGTTCGCTTTGTGAGGTGTGAAGAAGTGGCATTTCTTTTCATGCACATTTAATGAAGTGTTAATGCATGCTGAATGGAAGAAGTGGAATTGGAACAAAATAAGTTTGATTATGCTTTTACAGATTTGAAGGTTAAAGTCAGTGGCATAACTGTTGTTACCCAGATGGATCTATACAGAGCACTTTGGTTTTGCACATAATTTTCCATTCTGCTGTAATAAATTTTTGCCCTAAATAAGCCAAATAACTGAAATTTCAGATAGCAGGTCAGGAGAGAAATCGTATTTTTACACAATCTGTGCTGTATCATGTTTAAGAAACCACCAGAATTAACAGCACTTCACTATCTGCCAGCAACAAAAAATTCCCTGGTATTTTAGCAATGCACCATTTAAGCAACTATGTTCATTGACATCTCCTAAGAAGTGCACAGGATAAAGAACTGTTTAAGAGAGCATCACAGGAGTGTTGTGTTCAGTGTTAGGCTGTTAATTTAATTTTTTGGTGATATATGCTCTGGAGTGCTGCAAGGATGGGGCAATAAGTTTGTGTTCTGTTCACAGATCCTGCCTGTTGCCCATGGCTTTCAGGGATGTGAATGCAAGGCGACACATTGGACTTCAGCAACTCTCTTCCTTAGCCTTAGCTGGAAGAACATTACTGGGGCCAGTGAAATCATGTAAATTCATTGTGGATGAAAGCACCAACCAAAGCACATTGATTTGTTCTGCTGTTAGACTGATTGAAAGTTTGGACTTAACTAGTGCTGCTGGACAGCTTCTTAATGAAACCATTCATGCACAAAACAAGGAGTTTAAGACTGGGATGAGTACCCTGTTGTTTCTCGTTGGTGCATGGAGCAATGCCATAATGGAATGCCTCCAGCAGAATGTTCCAGTTTCAGCAATAGTATCTGTGATGTCCGAGGGGTTGAACTCTTGCTGTGAGGAAGTCCAGTGTCTTCAAATATCAATACACGATGTAAATAAAGAGCTCTGTTCTAGCAGTGTTAGGCCAAACACTTCTAAAAGCAAAACTTGCCAAATTGGATGTGACAGTCTTCCAAATCCCCAGCTTTTCCTGTATTTTCAGAAAGATATTTCTGTACCAGAAGTAATTAAAATAAATTCTCGTTCCCATCAAGATGATGATTGTAATTTTAACAAGCACCTGGTTTTGCCTTTGGCTGGCTTTGGTTCAGTGGCTTCTCTTGTCAAACCAGTGGGTGACAGGAGTACATCTGTGATTTCTAGAAGTGGTGTTACCACATCCAGCGGTAACAAACAAAAGCTAACCCATAGCAGGTACTTCAGCACTCTAGGAAAAAGCCATTTTTCAAGTCAGCAAGGTAATTTTCAGGGATACCTTCTGGGACCATCAGCAGATTCATGTGAATGTCATGGTTTAGGACACCTGGCAATGGCTCTGAGCCATGGAAATGAGACTAGCATGAAACCGCTACAAAGCATTCTTACATATCAGCAAGAGAGAGCAGAACACAGTGGCTCTTCCCAGTTTAACGTTGCAGGAATTGTGACATGCTGCTTACCGGGCCTGCCTGAAAGCTATTCTTGTGCCTCCCCAGGCTTTGTCACATTGGTATCACCAGAACAAGTCACAGTTATCAAACACTTGGAAGACAAACTCCTTCGGATTCTGCTAATAGATGGTGACCTAACTGAGCAATATCGTCACTTAGGTTTTAACAGATCGTGTAATGTGAGGACCATAGTGGAGCATCCTAACCTCCAGGAAGAAGACCTGTGGCTAAGCAGTGTGTTAGATAATCTGATAAACTTTGAAGTAAACCTGGTTTTGGTCAAAGGAAATGTGTGTGAAAACTTAATGGAAAGATGCATAGCAAATAGTATATTGTTAGTTAGTTCTGTGACTTGGAATGTGTTGTGTTCCTTTGGGGAGGTCACTGGTGCCCAGCCAGTGACATACCTCACCCAGCTGAATCCTTCTTGTGTGGGGAGTGGGGCCCAAGTGGAGTTGTGGAAGGCCCACGATGGGCGTGCAGTGGATCTGGGTGAACTTGTACCAGTCAGAATAAAAGCACGAGGAATTCCTCTGCTCACAGCCGTGCTTACCACTACTATAGCTTCAAAGATGCAGCTCCTTGAAGACCAGTTCTGGACTTTAGTGTATCGACTCCATCATGCTTTAAATGACAAGAAGGTTTTTCTTGGTGGTGGTGCAGTGGAGCTTTTGTGCCTCAGTCACATTCAGATGCTTGCCCAACAGCCTTTACAGCCAGCAAATCAAAATGCTGTGAAAGAGTTTCACAGTCCTTGGCTGGCAGCATCTGCAACTGAATATAAATCAATTGTGCTCCAAGCATTAGCAAGCGGCTGGAAGCAGTATCTTTTGGTGGTTATGTGTAACACCACCGCTGCATCGGAGTTGGAAGCGTGCACCTCAGTCGATCATCACCTCAGAAAAGCAGCTGACTGTGGCTCTCCTTCAGCATATATATTGAAAGAGTTTAGAAGAGGTGATCTGCTCAGGGATGGTGCTGGTCCCTTCGCTGGCCACGGGGAGGGTTTAAAGGTTTATGATAATGTTACAGCCAAGACAGAGGCATGGCGGAGAGCTCTAGATTTGGTGCTACTAGTGCTTCAAACAGATGCTGAAATTATCACAGGTCCTAGAAAGAATCAGCTGTTGAACTCGCATGTCTCAGGTGAATTTATGTTTTTATAGGACTTGTAGGCTTTATTTGTAAGTCTGTGAGTCAGAAGTCCAGGGGCAACCTACACTTCTTCATAAAGCAAACATTTAGATGTAATTATGACTTTAGAGTCTAACAGCAGAAATCAGAAGATGCAACAGTCACAAAGTGGATATAATTTCTCATTACTAGAAATGTGAGTTAAAAACCAAACAGAAACCACTTGTGGGTTTCCCTCTAACCCCAGCCGTGCTTTTCTAGCCAATAATATTGTCTGTGGATAGATTCATCCAGTCAAACTGACTAATCTTATTTAGCAGTGCAGTTCTTATTTGCATTATAATGAGGAGTGCTAGGTAGGGGGACGTGTTGAGTCCAGTTGGAGAAAACTTTGGGTATGCTTATGTTCTGAACATGTGCTGTCTCTATAAGGTATCTGGATTTGTGTTCTCTAAATTACTCTTTATTAATGTCTTCTAATGTCTTCTAAAGAAGAGCAGGAACATAACAGTGGCATACTTGTGTTAAATGAAAGTGTATATATAAAGTAATTAATTTTTAATTAATAACTTGCTCTTTTTTCTGTACAATGCAAATGTAGGAGTTAAACTTGCAATAATTTATGAGCACTACATTTTATGCTGAAAGATTGTATTAATAGATTCTATTTTGCATATTTATATGGGCCTTATATCTCCTATTTCAAGTATATACCCTTTGAAATTTCCCTCGTTTTGACATAAATTTAGGCAGAATCCTCCCTTTTGGTGTTACGGACTAGATGTATCTCTACACAAAGTTTTCTTTTACGTTGCAAGTTGGATTTTTAGATTATTCCTTTTGGGCTCTTATTCTTGCAAAGAGGAAAATGTATGTTTTAGCTGTTAGCTAAAAACTGGAAACAAATCTGTCATGAAGATTGAGGCAAGGCGTTTTTACTGTCTTTGGCACTTGAAATTTGAAAGCAGAGACATGGACAACTGGCACTTTGTTGCAAGAAAGAGGAGTGTAACTATGGAGATACTTTTTTTTCTGGATTTGGCATTCTGAACAACTAAGTGAAATATCTCACCAGTGTAGTGAAAACAGACTGGAAAGAGAATGGCAATGGTGATGCTAAAGCAGATTCTTGCTTTTAGGAACTTTTTAATTAAAATGCTAATGTCTGTAAGTACTGGTTGCAACTGCTGGTGCTGATGGCAGTCCTTCTGTGGTGAAAGCTAAGAACTGGGTGAAAGCTAAAGAGAGTTTTCTGAGGTGTGATTCAGTGGAAAGGCAGACAGAACTTATTTTCCGTGTGGTATCTCCCCACTGCAGAAGACATCTCGGAGAAGAGCCATTAGCTGCCTCAAACTGCTGTGACTGCTGGCAGTTCCCCAGTTGACCTCTACCAAGCTTTAACACAGTTCTCTGACTATGCTTTGTTGGAGTTGCTCTTTTCTCCTGGGAAGGGTTAGGGATAGGATTCTGTGGAGAGGTGGGATAGGCTAATGAGGTTCTGAATTAACCTTAGGCATGAGATGAAATTGGGATCCTTAGAAACAGCTGTTGAGTGCTGAACTGACCAGAAGCCCTAACTTCATTTTTATGAAGAAAAGAATCCGTCTAAATGCTTTTTATCCCAAAGCTTTTTCCTACACTGGTCTCAAATTCAGATCTTTCACAGAACTGTTTACCCAAGTGGATCACACTATGTGAATAATTGATATATTCTGTATGTCAAGAAAAGAAAGATACAGATAATGAAATTCATCCTCAAATATGGTTTAGGTACATATAGGCATATATATCTGTGTGTATATTAAAGTAGTGTTATACAGTGTTTTTTTCAAAAGATTCAAAGTTCTCGTTGCTGAATTGCATATTTTTATTTTTTATATATTAGTATTCAACTCACATGCAGCTGGAAGGCTCTTAAGGAGCTTAAGGAAGCATATTAATAACAGTTGTGTAGATAGTTATGCTTGTAGTATTTAGTCATCTCTGACCTGAGAAACTTATTTCAGTTTTCTAAAAAACTCTGGAATTCAGTGGCTTTTGGCAAAATCTCATCAGTACTATAGGGGTTTATAATTTTATTTTGAAACAGTAGTTCCTAGCAGCATAGGGATCGAACTGTATTAAAGTTTTGATTAAAGTTGGTAATTGATGTTTAACTGCTTGGCCACACTCTTTGAGTACTAAGATATGAGAAAGAAATAGTTTGGTAGGTCAAAAGAGGCAAAAGGAGTTAGTGGCTGTTAGGTGAGAAGGAAATGGAAACACAGCGCAAATAAATATAAACAAACTCTGCTGCTCTGCAAGTGTTTGCAGGTCATCTTTGGCTTTATACTGTTTTTCTTGAACCTCCTGTACTGAGCATTGCATAACCCCTGTTGCCAAGAAAAGATCCAGTTGTGCTTTATTTGAATAATAGAGTTAAGTGGATTATGGAAAAACTGCATACATGAATTGTGTTGAGGTGGTCCAAACAGCTATTTATAGGGCCCTTAGACACACCAAATGTTGAGAAAATCCAAAATGATGTAATTTTTCCAAGTGGGCTTTTAAAAAGCACATAATGAGATATTTAAGTATTGTGATGCAGAGGTTTTCTAAAAAAGATGTCAAGCATTGTATTTTGGTTACTTAACACTTGCTTTTCTACAGGCCAGCAAAATGGAAAATTGTATAAACTAGCTAGATATTGTATCCTGCATTTCTTAAAATTATTTGTTCATATACCTAGAAATTTAACATGCATGCTGTCCTCAAGGCATCCTCGTTTTAGAACATGAAATATAATATACACGTGTGGCCTTCTCCACTTCAAAGCTCTTGAACCTCTTTGCAACGTAGAATGGAAGTCCCGTACATGTCTGCCATGGCTCTTAGTGCAGGGAGTGATTTCAGCTTCTCCCAGGTACAGGCTTCTCCTAGGGTACGCAAAGGCTGTTTGTGTGGAGTATGATGTGATGCAAGAGCTAAGCTTTTATATTTGCTGTGCCTGGGAAATTGGGAAATGGCAGAGATTTTAGGGAAGGGATTGTCCCAAGGAGCATCTCACTCCCTGCTGAAACCCTGTCCTAGTCAGGAGCCTCATTTCTCCTTTCCAGCCCAGTATCATCATTCCCAGCTCACTCCACCTATTTAGGACTGATGCCATTTTATTTAACGTTTATAAGGCCAACCTTTTAGGTGTCTCTGCTCCTTCATGATTTCCTGAAATGGAACAGAGGTCATAGCAACAAGAGCCTTGTCCCAAGCTGGGCAAGCCTAAAGGGCACAGCCTGCTTGCAAATTCTGGTCCAGTAAGGACTGGTAACTGCGAGGACTGATTGAAGCAGATTATTTGGGATGCTCTTCTGGGCTGCCCTATCTCCACTTCCATTTATCCTGGGAAAGATTCAAGTATGGGGAGCAGAGCAGCTTTTATTCTTTTTTTTTTTTTTAATCAACATTTCAAAAATCTGCCAGCTGTCCTGTGCTCCTCATTTGGGGGAATAACATGGTTTGCTTTTTAGCTTAGAAACATCACGTCAGCATGTTCCTTTTTCACATGTTGGGGTCTAAGTTAGTGAGATTAGAAATTGCCTTTTGCTCTGTTAATGACACTAACAGCTGTACATTACATCTTTTATACATCTATACTCTCCAAGCACTCCTAGCACCCATAAAATGTCACTGGGTGGAGTTAGTTATATTATCTAATTGAGTAAGAAACAAGTTTACTCTGGTGTCCATGTATGGAAGCTTTCTAACCTCTTGATTTCCTTTTAAACTTCTTTTATTCCTGCCTGTGTTTGTTTTAGAACAAAAGTTCTCAGCATGTGTCTTGCCCAGTGACATTAGGAAGTTTCCTTGTCTGAGCCTTTCTGCAAGTGGATCAAAGTAACTGAGGATCTTGCATTTTTTACTTTTTGAAGGGACCAGAGTGTGACAAGGTGTTCAAGATTGTGGTAGTGATACATTTGCTCTGTCCCTTGCACAACTTCTTTGTGTTAATTTTTTCCTTGGGAGTCAAGTTAAACTTTTTAGATTTTGGTAACTTCCAGAATGTGATGATGCATACTGCTGTTACTACAGCTTTTACCTTGAAGTCACTTGTAAAAGTATTAACTTGCTCATAGCACTTTTGAAGCAGAGAGAGTATATTCCAGTTTTATTTTCTTCCCATAGATCAGTAATCCTTTTGAGGTCACTTCCACACCAGTGCAGTTAGAGCATAGTTTGTATGACACAAATGTGGAAAAATCAAAAAATCACAGACTAAATTCTGCCACTCGCCACCAGCATTGCTGCATCAATTAACAATTTATTGCAGAACTGCAGGACATAGACCCTTTTCTTTCAAGATGTGTGTTAACCAAGTATGACTAGATCTGCAGTCTTAAAGGACTTTTTCTTTGTAGATCACGTTGCTCCAAGAACAATGTCCACAGGGAAGATTTCAGCACAGTTGAAGGGAGAGAGAACAGCTCAAGTATGTGCACAAACTAGAGGCTGGTTTGATCCTGAATGGTGGAAGGAAGAAAAAACCACACTATTCCATCCATTTTGGCTTCCTATCTGTTTATTACATTAGTAATATCAATTTCTTTAGACTTTTGAAAAACACCCATCTTCCCATTTTGAAAGAGCAGTTAGCATTTATGGCTGTGCGGGTGTTGTAAATTGATTTTACAAATCCTATACTGTGTATTCTGCAGTGCCTAGTAGAGCTGAAACTGTGTTATGGGCATTCCAGTAAGCCTTGAGAACATAACCTGAGCTGGAACCTTCTGCAAGTACTTCTGCAAGTCCTTACAAATGCTTGCAGTACTTGCAGATACAGCAGGGACTGATCAGGCACAGATGGTGAAAGCTCATGGGAAGGATGGGAAACCAAGAAACCAAGGTTTGGTTTTCCCTGACTAGGAGAGATTCAAAACAAAAGTAAAAATCTGTTTAAATAGAAAGGAATTCTTTCCTTGGGGACCAAGTGCTACTCCAAACAACAGGATTTTTAAAAAATTATTACAAGAATATAAAAGTTAGCATGCAGTTTTTATTT